CAAAGCTGGAAACATTTACTTAACATTCTCTGTAGAATCTCAGAAGGGTAACTGTGTTAGTCTGTATCTTTGAAAACAACAAGTAGTCCCATGGCACCTTAGAGGCTAACCAAAATATATAGAATCATATGCTTTCATGGGTAAAACCCATTTCATCAGATCAGAGTTGATTTTATATATTTTGTTTATTCTCTAAGATGCCATAGGACTACTCATTGTTTTTGTTTTCTATAGAGACAGTTATAAATCCTAACAAGGAATAATGTATTAGCAGAGAATAATGTATTATTTTACTGCATCTGTGCGTGGTGTACCCACTAGCAGAATCCGAAAAAGCTAAATGATAAGCAAAGTGAATGTTCCAATTTTTGACTGGGCCAAGCTATGTCCCAACTTAACCTACTACATTCCAATATATGCCTTCCTAAATTGTCCTCTTTGCAAAATTATTTTTGAGAACCTAGGGGAAAAATGCCATCCTGAGAATTTTTAGCAGATATTTGTGGAGTTAGAAGTACTCTGTGATTGCCTTATATAGCGAGTTTTAGAAAGCAGATGAACTGAACTTCAACATAAACTTGGAAAGTCACTGAACCATTCTAGTGTACGTGCCCTGCAGCAACAGGTTACCCACACCAAATCTGCCGTCACTTGCCAAGGTTCCACTGAGACTCACAAACAGGTGTTGGATTTCTGAGTGTATTGAAACAGATCTCTGCACCTGGAAATTATACAGTGTGTCAGAAGTGCAATTAAGCGGTACTTAGAGTTGAAACAGATATTATGCAATAGGCTCTGCAAAATGTAAACCTGAAGCAACAGTTTTGGTTACTCTGTACAGTGGCTTAATTTTTTACATGAAAACAAACTTTATTTCTTCTTAGCTTTCCCTCTTTTAATGAAGTAAAATGGACAGATTTCAAAACAGTATAGTGAAATTTTCAAATGTATGGACTTATCTTGCACTTATATTTACTGCATACATTCAAGGCATGCAACATATATCTGTGCTTACTGTGCATGCATTATGCAAGTGAAATTGTAGCCTTGTCTCTCTTATTGCAAGTTGAATCTAAGACAGATGATTTACAGTACCCCCTAACAGTCTGTCTTAACAAATACCACAAGTGCAAATTGAAGTCACCAAACTTTACTGTTCTTGAAGTGTGTTTTTTGTGGCTTGTTGTATTTTGTTTTTAATGCACAGGAGCTAACCTCACACACAATTTACTTGTCTATTAAACAAACATTTGTGAACATGGGACTTTTTTGTGGCACAGGTGTCTCTCATGTGAAGTTTAGCCAATCTCCCTTCCCCAATAACAGCTGCATGTCTGCACTGCCAGCAAGCTCATGGATAGACGCTTGTATGGGATATTCCTTGAGGAAGTTAAGAGTTCAAACAACTCTAATCTTCCAGAAAACTTGCAGGGTTGACTCCACCTCCCACTTTTGCAAATCATATAGCAGACTTCAGCTAGTATCAGATCCTTCCAGAGTTCACACAGCTCTCCTGTCTTCTCAAACAGCAGACCAAACCAAAGCCAAATCTGATGCCACATTGTAGGGGAAAGTGATGCCATCATTGCTTAAACTTATTGAAGTCACTTTGGAGAGTCCAAGATTAAAAAAAATCCACAGAATAAACTGTAATAGCCACGGTGACTATTCCAATAGTGTATATGGAGATGTTGAAAGCTGCACAAGCATCTGAGGCAAAAGACACATTACGTGATTTATCAGTCTATCATCATTGCATAAACAAAATCAAAAAAATAATGTGCAGGATTTGATACCAACTTATTTTTTCTGTTGAGGTATCTTGACTACAGTGCTATGATATACAAATAGCCTGGGTTCATCAGATGTGATACTATATATCACAGCATCACGAAATCATTGGTGATTGTATCTCTAAATATGAGACATTTCTTACCAGTTGGTATTACCAAGTTTGTGTTTATCACTAATGCATTGAGGGCACAGCCTTGTATCCATTACTAATACCCTGAGATCACTAGAGTCCATAACTGAGAACATAAGTTGACCTTAACTCTTCTCTATATTAGGTTCCTTGTTGCCTTCACAGAAATAAAATAACAAAGTCTATAATATGTATGATCAGGTAACATTTTTAGTAAGGTAGCAAAAGACTCTAATGCTTATGAGCTGGTTGCAGTGATAGGCTACATTATCAGTGCGCAAATAATAACTGTTTAAAATTATTTTTTTATTAAGGGAAAATGTGAATAAAATATTATATGTATAAAATGTATTGGTCTTTCCCAGAGGCACAATCTTATGCTACCATCATGTGGTGGCCTGGCTGGTAGTTATATTCTGACCCAAAAAGAAAAAGGCCCCCAAATCTCTGTTTTTCTATATTTGTGACTGGGAGGAGGAATTGGTCTACAATGTTCTTATTAGATGGCTTCGCTAGCTCTCTGAGTAGAATTATGTGTTTGTGTTGACAGAAAACAACAAATATCACAACACTGCAGGTGACACCATATCATAGTCTAAGGGGCAGACAAATTATTTTAATTACTCACATCTTCCACAGTTTACTGTGATTATCTTATGAAAGCATACCATGTACCCTTAAGGGAAAGGAGGAAGCTTAAATGTATTTTTCCTGCTCTGGAAGATAGACATGTTGAGCTAAGAACAGAGTTTAGCACACAATCACATGGGTATAGTCATGAAGTTCAGCAATAGATACATGACTAAAGGAATATTTAAGGGCAAGATGCTCAAATTCTAAGGCAATAGATACAGCATAAAAAGCTAGATAGACAAGCAGAACGATTAGTTTAATAGTAGCTCTGTTTATTGCTTTGGCCTACTGGGAAATAGCAGGTTTTATTTCATGCTACTTTCATAAGCTACAACAGATTCCAAAGTCACATACCCTGTACCTACAGATGTAATTGCTATTAAGAAACTCTTTATTGCTGAAAACATTAACAATGTATACACTAATTGACATTTTGATGGGACACACTAGAAAACACAGTATGCATTTCCCTGCTGCTCCAACAAGTGCTAAACTCAGAACTGGAAATATATAGAGACAGAAAAGTTTAAAAGCAGTGTAAGTCTTGAGGCTTATGCTTCATTAGGAACTAAGAGGACAAAAATCAACTACAAAAAATTACCATCAAGCATCTACAAAAAAAAAAATTACAAACCATGAAGAACAAAACATAGTTACAGATTATATGTAATATAAAATACAAGTGTACATTTTGTGCAGTTAAAATGAAAGTATACAATCTGATAGCTAAATTTGTAAATTTAAATGTTGTTTTCTGAAGTTACTCTAAAGCAATCTCACATCCCAGTTACAAATTGCTGCTTTATGTATATACAAACGAAAAGCATATGCATAGGGCTGTGGCATGATCAGGGCCCCTGAGTTCTGTCACACTTTGGTGGAGAACACTTATAATTTGGGAGCAGCTTCATTTACATTTTAAAGATGAGTTTAACTATTAAAGATTAACTAGCCAAATACATTTAGTACAGAAGAAATGTCCCTATGTTTTAATGTTCTGCAGGTGTCTGCACTGACCAGGCATAGATGTTCACGGGGGAAGCTGTATATTTGGCTGCTGGGCAGGAGGCAAATGGGTTTCTGCCACTCATGCAGGAATGGGGGCAGTTTGAGATTGTGAAGATGATTCTGAACTGTTGCACACTTTCATAAGTAGGCCCCAAAAGAGGACAATGGCAAGTTTCAGCCACATTTCAGATTAGGATCCCCCTCTTCACAGTAATAGTCCAACACTTCTCTGCTTTCCTATAGTGATCGTCTGAGGTGGGGCTTACCCAACCTGACAATGCTAATATTAATGTGGGGGGTACATGGGCTTCTCCCTATCCCAATGTTCGAGTGGAAGTGGTGCATTCTATTTCCCAGTAAGGTATCAAACATCAGTGATTCAGGGGAAAGTTTAGATTTCTGCTCCCTGGCCAATATCAGCAGAACTGGAAAAAACTCCATTGGTCCCTTGGCTACTGTTTTACTAGTTGCCCTTTAATTCTCTGGCAACAGACACAGATCTTCTGGGAAACAAAGTTATGTAGATAGAATCGTCCTATCAGTTTATATCCCTTCTCCTGTCCAAAACTTAAGTTA